AAAGAGGAAGGGGGCCTAGGAGTGAGGGACTTAAGGAAATTTAACATGGCGTTGATGGGAAAATGGTGGGGGCGGCTTGCAGAAAATAGGGACAGCTTGTGGAAGAAAATTCTTGTTGAGAAGTATGGAAAGGGAGGGGGACACTGGCAAGATTGGGTTACTGGAAATAATGGTGCAGGATCAATATGGTGGAGGGATGTCTGCGGTTTGAACACTATGGATGGGGAGAGTGTAGGCTAGTGGAGGGTTTTAGAATTAGCATAGGTGAGGGAACTAGTGCTAGTTTCTGGTGGGATGACTGGTGGGGAAAGGAGTGTCTTGCTAACAAGTTTCCAAGACTATATCTTCTTTCAACAGGAAAGACGCACATGTGCAACCAAATGGGAAGCGAAAGAGATAGATCATGGGAATGGAATCTGGCATGGAGGAGAAAGTTGTTCGAGTGGGAAGTAGAAGAGACGATGGAACTGCAGAACATGATAAAAGATGTGAAGATCTCACAAGGGCGCCTTGATAACTCGGAGTGGATTCATGACAAGAATGGTCAATACTCAACAAAATCAGCCTACGCATTGTTAACAAAAGAGGAGAAAGGATCAACTGGAACTACAACCTTTACAAGAATATGGAACTCCACCCTTCCAAGCAAAATTTCAGCTTTCAACTGGCAATTACTATTGGATAGAATACCAACTAAAAAGAACCTGTTGAGAAGAGGGATCATCAAAGACATGAGAGAAAGCAAGTGTGAAATATGTGCTGAAGAAGAAGAGGACACAACGCACTTGTTCTTAAGTTGCAGGATCGCTCGATGGCTATGGAAGGCCTATGCAAAGTGGTGAGGGACTAAGATTTCGTTGGAAGTGGATGGTTGGAATACCTTTCAAAAATCCGGAATAGAGTCTAAAGAGCCAAGCATCAAAGAAGGGTGGGATTGCATATGGAATTCATTTGTTTGGTTTGTGTGGTTGGCTCAAAACCAAAAGCTTTTCCAAGGCAAAGAGATCAATCCAGGGAAGCTTTTTGAACTCATCCAATTGAGATCCTTTCTTTGGATTAAATCTAAAAATGACAAAATGAAAAGCAGCCTCTTCTCAATATCAGATTGGTTCCAGGATCCGGTATCTTGCTTAAGAGATGCTACAGCAAGAAGAAGGCAAAACAGGGTGATAATTCCAGGTTAAATAACTGAATTCATAGGAAGGGACCAATGGTGTCGACACCAAACAGGAGGACTAAGCATCATGAGTTCGACACGGACGTGGTGTCGACACATAATTTTGCTGTCGACACTAAACAAAAAGGCTGAGCATCTAGAATCTCAACGTGAAAGTAGTGTTGACACATAATTTTGGTGTCGACACCAAATGCAAGGGCTGAGCTTCCAGAATCCCAACATGGACGTGGTGTTGACACATAATTTTAGTGTCAACACCAAATGGAAAGGACATTTGACTATGTAAATCTATATCTTTCAAGTTGAGATGTTTATAGGTTTTGGGTACCCCTTGTACTCCATCCTTTTGCAATAAATATCACTTTTTCTGTTCAGAAAAAAAAAATTGATGCCCATTGGTTTCCAAAAAATTATGACACTGCCTAAAAATATCGTTTGCCCGTTAATTTCATATATTTTGTCTTCCTCCTAGTTTTAGACAAATATCATGAGAACTTGGGTCCAAGAAATTACATGCTGCACCTTGCTACCTCCACCAAGCCATAAACATAATGTGTTTAGAGTAATTAAAATCTCTGGGTAAAAATTCAATTTCAAGGAAAAGATAGATAATTTACTATTTTTTTAGGAAGAGTGAAAGAGGAAAAACA